GCCGTATGAGGAAGTGGCTGATCCCATTAAAGAGTGCCGTATGAGGAAGTGGCTGATCCCATTAAAGAGTGCAAGTTGACAATTATATCATTCATTTATTTGATCAGATTTATTCAGGTTTATCCCTTATGTAAATTATCCTTATAAATAATATTAGCAACTAGTGTTCGCCGGCTTCTCTTCCCTCTTCTAAGTGTAAGCAGCTCATGACCCTTGAGTCCGTCTCAGTCTAGTTTTGAGTTTCAACTTAAGTAAGGAAAATGGTCGACTAGGGAATCCTTCTGGCAACCGCGCCTACTCAAAGAAAGATATCATTGCTACACGGCTAGGGTTTCCTGGTAACACTTCTCGCACTGAACCAAGCGAATAAAACAAAGAAACAAATGAAGTCTAGTAAGCGTCGTTCACACAAAAGCTAACACAAATTTAAATGAAATTATGTCATATATACATTAATCATTCATGTTTATTTCTATCCTTGTTACGTTCCAGATGCTTCTCTATGTCTCTCTTAGTTGTTTTACATTTTCGCATTTTTTATGCTTTTCTCTAATGCTCTTTATTATACTAACGTCGCTTCTAATGTTCTCAGATGTTCCATGATCTCTTGATTGATACTTAAGCATCAGTACACACCAGTGAAAACTCTTTATAAGACTATGGATATTTTAAAAAGTGTCTGATCTTGGTTATGTTTAAGGGCCACGTGCATACAAGAGCCTTTATGATCGTTTCTTTATATTTACAAATGATTTCTTGTTTATAGATGCTTTCTGATTAGTTCCATATCGAAGATGACGAACCGTAGGTGAGAAATTCGCGTAAAGGTGCTTGGATGCACTCACGTGGCCCTTTAAGCAATACCATACCTGATATTGTCGTACACATTGTGAATTGCTTTGTAGGTGAATATTCTCGAGTATTGCATCCAAGATTCTTTAATGTACAATTACTATGACCTTTAAACAAGTAATGTAAGAAAGAAAACATTTAGCTGATTTTGTTGAAAATGTGCTTTATTCAAGAGGGAACTAAGCATCAAAACATGACATATGTATTGAAAGCTTACCACAAATATTTGGATTGTGAGAGTTTTCGGTACAATAACTTCCTATTCTGCAAGTGTTTTTCCAATCAGTGCAGCTTCCATCA